GTTTGGAGAGCTCACCGCCGTCATGCTCGCCGACGAGAAGTCTGGGCCCCAGTTTGGAGAGTTTAGGGTTTGAGGTGTTTAGGGTTTAGGGTTTAGGGTTTAGGGTTTAGGGTTTAGGGTTTAGGGTTTAGGGTTTAGGGTTTAGGGTTTAGGGTTTAGGGTTTAGGGTTTAGGGTTTAGGGTTTAGGGTTTAGGGTTTAGGGTTTAGCTTCTTATCGGACTTATGGGGCTTACAGGCCTTAAGGTCGTGGCTGGTGACATGATGGTCTTTTGAATTGGCAGGGGCGGGCACGGCGAAGTGGCTTTAGGGCACCTGTGCAAACATCTGCGGGGTTTAGGGTTTAGGGTTTCGGGTTAAACCTAATCCCGGGCCCGAAGCCCTCTTCCAGAGATCTGTGTGGCCACATCAGGCAACAGCTGGACCTGCACTCCCTGATCCACCACTCCGTGCCATCCTGCAGGCGGTCCATATGCTAGGCATCGGCTTTGGGATCATTTTAATTTCCTTTATTGTTTAGTATGGCTTTTCAGGTTGTATGATCATATTATGGCTCTTTTGCCATATTCTTATACGACCTATCATTAGTACGGAGCCCCAATCATTAATTTTGGGGACTGTTTGAAATCGACACCTAGTATGGTAGTTGTTCAAAAATACCCCCTTTTTTCTGAATAGCCGTAAGATTATCCTTCCGGCCTTCGACTGTCATGTGGAGTGTGTGGGCCTCACAGGGCTGAGGCATGAGCATGCGTGCGGGGTTTAGGGTTTAGGGTTTAGGGTTTAGGGTTTAGGGCTCGGGGTTAAAGTATCATTGCCCGAGAGGACTGCCCAGATTTGGTCTTTGTGCTTTTGTCACCCTGGGCCCGAGAAGCCCCACTTCTTGGGATGCTCCCCCTTATACTTTAGGGTTTGGGGTTTAGGGTTTAGGGTTTAGGGTTTCTAACAGTCCTTAATTGAGATTATAATTGGGGGTACTTTAATCCCTCTGAAGGACTGGTCGTATAAGGGGGAAGCATCCCAACCCGCTTCCCTTACTCCTTGTTTCGGGGCCCACTTGGAGGTTCATGGGTAGGTGTAAGTAGGGCTAAGTACCCCAAATGAGGTTAGAGTTGCATTCGCCATAAAGAATCATAACCCTACTTATATCTACACATGAGCCTCCAAGCAGGTCCCTCACTAAGCAAAAAGCCGGGGCACCTCTGTCGTTACTGGGTTTCCGGGGGGTATCTCGCTGGTGAAGGGTTTTGAGGTGAGGGTTTGGGTTTAGAGCCCTTTCCCAAGCTAGAAGGAATATACTGCAGTAGAGTCCCACAGACAGGCTTATGATCTAGGTCAGCCTCCATTTCTGACGTGGAGTCAGAAGTAGGGTCAAGAGAACAAAGGGCGGTCCTTGTCCCTGTTAAGGCCGACGTGTATGCTGCGTAGGCACACCCTGAACCCCTTAACCTGGTTACTTAAGCCCTAAACCCTCAACCCTCAACCCTCAACCCTCAACCCTCAACCCTCAACCCTCAACCCTCAACCCTCAACCCTCAACCCTAAACCCTAAACCCTAAACCCTAAACCCTAAACCCTAAACCCTAAACCCTAAACCCGGACCCGAACCTAATCTGGTACATGCCTGCACCCCCCCGAAGGGGCTTATATAATTGTATTGTATTATTCAGTTCCTATAGTTCCTATAGTTCCTATAGAACTATCTTATTATGATAAAGTAAACGCTAAGCCCTAAACCCAAACCCTAAACCCTAAACCCTAAACCCTAAACCCTAAACCCTAAACCCTAAACCCTAAACCCTAAACCCTAAACCCTAAACCCTAAACCCTAAACCCTAAATTGTATTGTTATGTTTTGCGAATATTCCTACGGCTAGTTTTGAGGCTTCGGCCTCGAGGGTTGGGGGACGTGGGGCCTTCGAGCTCTTTTGCGTTTCAGGGTTTTTGGGGGGTTTAGGGTTTAGGGTTTAGGGTTTAGGGTTTAGGGTTTAGGGTTTAGGGTTTAGGGTTTAGGGTTTAGGGTTCAGGGTTTACAGAATCCTAGCCAAATTTACTGGTTCCTTGGAGACAGAAACTTAGCAGGGACTTTGGGCATTCGAATCCGGGCCAAGGGACCGAAATCCCGAATTCTCTTACAAGTTGCCAGAAGGTCATTCCCTAAACCCTAAACCCTAAACCCTAAACCCTAAACCCTAAACCCTAAACCCTAAACCCTAACCCTAAACCCTAAACCCTAAACCCCAAGCCCTAAACCCCTCAACGTGAAGCAACGTGACGATTGAAAGAGTCAGGAGCAAGCAGCAGCACAAGAACCTCGTGGGCGGCAGGGGCTCCCATTTCCTCAGCATGTTCTGTTGGGTTAGGGTTTAGGATTTAAGGATTATTAGGGTTTAGGGTTTAGGGTTTAGGGTTTAGGGTTTAGGGTTAGCGTTTAGGATTTAGGGTTTAGGGTTTAGGGTTAACCCCTCAACTACCATCTTGACAGATGGTGGCCAGCCTGTTTTCTTGGTGGCCTTGAAGCAACCTTCCGGGATGCGCGCAACAGCTCCTCAACCCTACCAGGATGGGCTAGTATACCCCTATGACCCCTTAAACATGTCCCCTTTTTTTAGGGGTTTAGGGATAAAGGCCCTTCATCATTAGGGTTGATTTTTGGGGATTATGAGGCCGAATAGCCCATCCTGGCAAACCAGAGACGACTTCCGAGTTGCCACAAAAAGGCCCATTGACTTGTGAAACCCTGGCAATGGGGAGAGGGCGCGAATTGAGAGCACCGCCCATTCCGAAGCTTCCCGTGCTCACCAGCCAACGATTTAGGGTTTAGGGTTTAGGGTTCAGGGTTTAAGGTTTAGGGTTTAGGGTTTAGGATGTATTAGGGTTTAGGGTTCTACCACACCCAGCGGCTTGAAGGTTCTCGGCTTGCGGTTCAGGATCGGCGTTGGAGGGTTGGGGACGTGCTCCTTCGCGGCGCGCACGTATGGCACCACCACCACGCCAGGGTGCGGGTTTGACAGCATATCGGTACTTCCCAACGAATGGGGGGCACCCCGAATACAGGCCCCCCAAAGACAATAGCCACCCAGTCACCAGCACATTGCGACATGCCGACCGAGGATCTGCAGAGTGTATCTTCAAAGGCACCATCCGCGTGGATGCCGAGGAACGACTCTGTAAAGGGGTTTCGGGCAGTTTAGGGTTTGGGACTTAGGGGCGATTTTGGGCTTGGGCTGGAAAAGGCTGTTGCGCTTTCGACGACGAAGTTGTCGCCTGCATGGAATGTTGCAGCGTGTGCGTTTTAGGACGCCCAGGGCGTGAAAGCATCCGTCGAGGCGCTAGCTAGTGGTGGTTTCAGGTGCGGGGGCACCCGGAAATGAGGGCGCAAGATGCAATCTCAAATCCTCAGCACTCGACCCCGAAACTCTTCTTGCACAGAGGTCGTGCAAGTGAACCGAGCAGCATGAGTTTTGGCGGAACCACTATCATGCGGTTGAGGGCTTGAGGATGCTTAGGGCTTTCTTGGGTTTCGTGGCAGCTGAGTAGATGGCCTGGAAGAAACATCCGGGTAGAGACAAGCGTACCATAATTGGAAGGTTGACGTTTTTTTGGGCCAGGGCACTCAGTAACTACCAGCAAGGGCTATTGGGCCTTAGAATCCCCATAATCAACCCTATCAAGGGCGTTTTTAAGGGGTTATAGGGTATAATAGCCCGTCCTGGTAGGGTTTAGGAGCTGTTGCGCGGCGTGCGTTTGGCCGCGCGCTTGTCATCTCGGGTTTTTGGCGGCTCAGCGCACCTTCGTGGACCCTAAGCCCTAAACCCTAAACCCCAAACTCCAAACCCCAAACCTTAAACCCTCTGTCATTTCGGACGCCTGTCCTCCAACCCTGGGCCTGCGGCTCTCCTCCTTATCTCTTAGCCCAGTCCAAAAAAACAGCTCTGGCCCTGGCGTTGAGACCGACCGCTTGCTCTAGAGCTGGCATTGCCGCTCCCTTTCCCCAGCCTCGTAGCTCCGTCGTACTTTGGAACCGAGCACTCGGACAAAGGTTTAGGCTTAGAGTGTATATATTAGCCCTAAACCCTAAACTGGCCCTAAACCCTAAACCCTAAACCCTAAACCCTAAACCCTAAACCCTAAACCCTAAACCCTAAACCCAAAACCTTAAACCCTAAACCCTAAACCCTAAACCCTAAACCCTAAACCCTAAACCCTAAACCCTACACCCTACACCCTACACCCTACACCCTACACCCTACACCCTACACCCTACACCCTACACCCTACACCCTACACCCTACACCCTACACCCTAACCCCAAGCCCCGAATACATTTTAGGCGCTCGGGGGGATGACGTGTGCAGCAGGCGCAGCAGACGGAGAGCTCGCAGCTCGTTCGGTCGGAGCCCAAAGTTGCCACATCTTATTTCGGCAAGCAGCGAAGACGAAGACATAAGAACATGATAGGGTTTAGGGCTTAGGGTTTAGGACGCAATCATATATTCTAACCTAACATTGTAAAACTTCATATGGAGCAGAAATCTAGTTTGACTGGAGAGAATGTGAATTGTCCGATCGTTGCAAGCGTCGGGAGTCTTCTAGCTGAATGCCAGTTTTCACAACAGCTTGTGGGGAGTTTTCTGTTCTAGGCTGTTTTGGGCATCCCTAAACCCTAAACCCTAAACCCTAAACCCTAAACTCTAAACCCTAAACCCTACACCCTAAACCCTAAACCCTAAACCCTAAACCCTAAACCCTAGACCCTAAACCCTAAACCCTAAACCCTACACCTTAAACCTTAAACTAAACCCCAAGATCGTTTTAGATCCTTTTTGCGAAGGGTGTGGTATTCTAGAGCACCGAACAAGGCACGTGATCCAGAGAACTTCCCGTGCAGCACCTGCTCTGAGGTCACTTCTGCTGACAAAGAAATCGAAGGTCAAGGCTGCACTGGACTGGCGATGTCAGGGCTTACTTAGAGTTCAGGGTTTTGGGTTTTTTTAGGGGTTTGGGTTTGAGGTTTTTGGGGGTTTTAGGGTTTTAGGGTTTTGGGTTTGTGGGGTTTTGGGGTCATTGGGTTTTAGGGCTTTAGCTTAGTAGCTGAATAATTAGACAACCTCTAACCTTTCGGGGTATATACAATCCCACCATATCTGAAAGGCTAACCTTTTTGGGCCAGGGTGCTCAGCAGCTAGGTTAGGGTTTTGGGGTTGAGCCTTGGAGCTTCGAACCCCTTCCGCCTAAGTTTTTCATAATTCCTCGGGAATGATGTGTTAACCTATACTTCCGGGGACCTCATTCTTGCGTCTTTGTGGGATGTAGTAAAGCTGGCAGGTCCCTGGAAGCATAGAGCTAGACAGTTTAACGAGATGTTTAGAGTACCATGGGGGCATGTACCCCTAAAGCCTAAAGCCTAAAACCCCGAAACCCTAGACCCCAAAACCGACGCGAAACCCTGAAACCAAAAACCCTAAAAACCTGAAGCCCTCAACCCTGAGCCCCATTCTTCGGGGCAAAGGCAGCGAAATCCGGCTCTGCCTACTTCCCCCAAATTCCCGGACAGGAGTTTCAATTTGAGCCGGGTTTCGGGTTTCGGGTATTCAGTGGACAAAGTGGGCGCTGTCCCCGGAGCCGAAGCCTTCACTGCCTTCACCCCCAACCCTCACCCACCGAGCACTACCCCACATCCCAGGCCTGACTCACTTCCTGATGAGTTCTCATGGGCCCTAAACCCTAAACCCTAAACCCTAAACCCTAAACCCTCTATACTGCCACCCTCAGGTTCAACCCCCCAAAATTAAGGCTATTTAGGGATAGCTAGGCTAATTAAGGTTATTTGGGGGGGGGACTTAGGTTTAGGGCTCCAAAGCAAGGTGGTGACCAGTCACAGGTAGGGTGACCCTAGTACTCAGCATTACCCGTTATGCTCGTTCATATTGGCAGATGCTAACTTTCCACCCGCATGACCGAACATCGAACAAGAAACAGGACAGCGCACGCACAGACAGAATTTAGAGGCCTAAATACTTCCCGCCAATATCCCTTGTACTCTATGAGTATAAATTGCCCACAATACCGTTCTAGCTGACAGGACCCCCTTCCCAGGGTTTGGTGCCGAATTCACAAGCTGCCATAGCGCCTCATCACAGGTCGCCACTTTCTTGGTGCCAAATGGGCTCCTCGAAACACTGCAACCCTAAGGCAAGCCCAACAGCCACAACTCACCAGCAAGTGGACAATGCCAGGCTATGCCATCGCTCCAGATCCAGGCGAGCTCGGAGGTTGTTCCTAAACCCTAAACCCTAAACCCTAAACCCTAAACCCTAAACCCTAAACCCTAAACCCTAAACCCTAAACCCTAAACCCTAAACCCTAAACCCTGAACCTAAACCCTAAGCCGTAAACCCTAAACCCTAAACCCTCGACCCTAAACCCTAAAACCTAAACGCTAAACCTGCTTTGACACTGAAGCCGCACGGAGGGATCGAGGCTCGACGGAAACCTGCTGTGACACAGCCTTGTGGTGCCCTTCTGCTTCTTCATTCCCGAAGCAACAAGCAGGTCTCACTAATAGCCGAAATAGAAGCCCCTTAAGTACCCTTAATGGGGTTGTAATTGGGTAGCTGAGTACAGTTCTAGTTGGGTTACCAAGTACCACGAACCTCGTAGTACCGAAGCCTTAGAAGAAGAAGAAGAAGAAGAAGAAGAAGAAGAAGAAGAAGAAGAAGAAGAAGAATAAGAAGAAGAAGAATAAGAAGTCCTTCTAGACCTACTGACCGCTTCACTTCGTTCCGCCTCGTGTCCCTTGAGACGAATGTTCGGTGTTTTGGGTTGTTATACACAACCAAAGAGGAGTACAGAAACATGTCGTTTTCGTGGTCGTTCTAGGGATAGCAAGAGTAGTGTGTCTCGGACTGATGCGCTGTGTTTTAGCTGTCTTTTGCAGCATTCCCAGCCAGCTCAAGAAGTTCGGCCGTCAAATATTCCAGAACAGATGCCAAGCTAAAAGGCGCACAATCAAGTATACTTGTCTCATGACAGAAGCAGAAAAAAAGTACACTCAACTGCATGGGAGATCCTCCGCCGATTCCCGGGGGCACAGCTTTTGCCTGAACCGAGCAAGGTCCTAAGTTCAGAAATGATGGTCTGTCACGTGTGGGATACCTATACTCCTAGTTCTGTTAGTCTCGGGAGGATAAACCGCGCCAGGCCGGGGCCGAGACCCAAAACCCTCAAACCTTCATGTGGGGGTTTACGAAAACAGGGGGACCCTTAATATAGACCCCCCACATAGTGGGGTTCCCTTATAAGAAGGACACCAAAAAGGCACCCCCTAATATCGTAAACCCCCACCTTTAGTATGCTCCCAAAACAGTATAATCATTATTATAGGAGCCCGCAAAAGGGTACCACCATTTTCGGAAACCCCATTATGGGGAGGCAGATGACGTGACCTGCTCCCATGGAGCTGCTCTCACGCAGCTGGACAAGGATGAGGCCAGCAAAGAGCGGCCAATGAGGGTTTAGGGTTGAGCGTTTAGGGTGCTAAGGATACTAAGGGTTAGAGGGTCACCTGCTTCGCGACTTTCGTGTTTAGGGCTTGGGGTGTCACGGTGTCGCTCTGGATCTGCTTGCCACAAGCCAAACCCTAAACCACCCCAAGACAGAATTACGCTTTGCAGTACGATGTGCAACAAATCTGTCTCGCATTCTATCGCTTTTCCTGTCATTCGAGCTTTTCGACAAACCACGCTTTGACCTTCGGACCACTCTGTACGTCCCCCCAGTCCGTATTCTCAAGCAGTTGAGCATCTTCAACAGTCTGAACCCTGCGCAGCTGTTGCGTTGAAAAAGCTGTGCACAAGACATTCAAGCCCACATGCGAAGGTTCTCTGAAGAAGCCTTTGAGGTCTCAACACGACCATCTCGCGCATCCCCCTTCTTCGATCTGTCACCTTCCCAACACCGACCCCGCAAACCCACGGAGCCTCCCCATAAATGGGGGTTTACGAAATTAGGGGTACCTTGTTGGGGGTCCTGATTAGAAGGGAATCCTACTATTTGGGGGGTTCATATGAGGGGTCCCTTGCTTTCGTAAGCCCACCATTAATGCCCACCAGCTCTTCTACCTGGCTTCACGTGGCCTGGACGGGCGCGACGCACGGAGGCAAGGCGTGCCGACTTGCCCACCAAGAGTTGATACCTGCTTGGCAAGGGATTTCTGAAGGGTGGGGGGTTAGACATCGTCATGGACATAGGCATCAGCCCGAAACCCTAAACCCTAAACCCTAAACCCGAAACTCTAAACCCGAAAACCCTAAACCCCAAAAAGGATCACCAGAACAGCTCGTATAGGCCTTTGCTTTTGTGAGGTTGATGCTCACCGGTTTTCCCACCGATCTCCTGGACGGCCTCAAGGATGGCATGCGGGGTCTAGCGCTTCACCCTGAACCCTAAACCCTAAACCCTAAACCCCAAACCCTAAACCCGCCGAGCGAGTTTTCGAGGACCTGGCACCCAAAGCCCATCAGCGAGTCCCGCGCCTGGTTGAAGGGTTTAGTGTTTAGGAGCAAATTTCCCTAGACCCTGAACCATAAACCCTGAACCCTAAACCCTAAACCCTAAACCCTAAACCTTAGCCCCTAAACCCTAAACCGGGGTGTAGGGCTCAGGGTGGGCTTATACTTGTGACATGAACTTGGCACCAAACTGAGTCCGGGTCGTGGCTTGGTGTGTCGGATTTAGGTCTCATACCCGAAATACCCTTTCCCCATTTACCCCCCCTGTAAACCCTAAATGCCCCGAACAAGTGTATTTCCCAAAATAAGGGTACCTTTTTTTATACCCCTTGTAGAATGGAATCCCCTTAAAGTTATCCCCCCCCCAAAAAAAAGCTACCCTGTTTTCGGACCCCCCTCAAAAAAACCTAAAAATAAAATAATAAACATAATACAAATAAAATCCCCCCCCCCCCCAAAAAAAAAAAAAAAAGGAATAGGCTGCATCCGGCCAAGGTCCTCGACAAGCTTGCCTCCATGGCCGAGACCAGTGACCGCGAGAACCTGTAGTCATGGTACGCCTTGATCCCAGACTTGGCAGCTTCCCCGCACCCCTAAACCCTAAACCCTAAACCCTAAACCCTAAACCCTAAACCCTAAACCCTAAACCCCGAAACCCTAAACCCGAAACTCCTTGCGTTGAATCCGGAATCCAGCGCCAGGGACTCGATCCGAAGCTCGGTAGGCCCTTGGGACATTTCATATGTTCCCTTCTTGGGTTTAAGAGGCAAAATGTTCAGGAATTTTTTTTCGGAGGGTTTTAAGGGCAATCCTAGGAAGCCTTCTGATCCTGGGTACCATGTTGGAAGAGTCGTTGCCGTTGTCTCGCGTTGCTTAGCGTTAGACTCTTGGATCCTGGTTGCGACCAGGCCTGGGCATGATAGAGTAGAAACATACGCGCATAGATGTATACATACATGCATACATACATATAGCCTAGCAGAATTTGTTCAACAGTTAGGTATATGCCTATATGTATATGAATGGATGAATGAGAGACCTAGTATCCGGCCTTATCCTCAGTTTTGTATTCGGGCACGCTTTCAGTTTTAGGCTTGTGGCAATGCGGGAAGCTGGCAGATTTTGGGCACGCTTTACAAGGCATTACAAGGATCAGTCAGATCCTGCAGTTTTTGGTGCTCGGCAGCCCGTTTTTGCCTTGTCCTGAAACCCTCATCTCAGCTTAATGCCGATCTTCTGCAATCGTCCCCGGTTCCGTTAGGGTTTAGGGTTTAGGGTTCAGGGTTTAGGGTTTCCTCTGTGAGATCTTAGCCTAAGTGAGTACATGAGCTTGTCGCCTTCCCCATCTCGGGGTGGACAGGCCGAGCGCAATCCTGAGCCTCAAACTCTAGATCCTAAACCCCTAAAACCCTGAAACCCTAAGCTTGCACCTTGAACCTGAAGCCAAAACCCTGTGATCCAACTGTGGACAAGATGCGGTTGAAGAGGAGATGAGATACCTCATGGCCTCTAAGGTAGTTCCTTCTTGTTGGGGGTAAAGCGCTGCGCTTCCTACAAGGGACAATCCTGAACCCTAAGCCCGATATCGCCGACCGGCAAAAGAATCTACATTTTAGTCTTCAGGTACTGTATGCGAGCCCCACTAGAACCGCCATGCTCTGTCATTAGGCACATGGACCCTTTGGGTCCTGGAATGGATGATTTTCATGTTGCGTTACGTGCTTATGTACATATGTAGGTGTACATATGACATATGACGTGTACCTATACGGAGTCATTAAAATTGTTCGCCCCCCCCCCCCCCCCATGTGTTCGTTCAAGGCTGCCGGGTCATCCCCCGGAAACTGTCCGGGAAACCCCCTGGTCCTTGCTGTGGGGCATGTCCCTCCCCCAGGCTCCGCAAGGCACCCTGGCCTTCATCCGGCGCAGAATCTTCCAATGCTGATATGGGTGTTTACGAAAATAAGGGATCCCAATAAAGTCCCCAAATAATAGGATTCCCTCATAATCAGCACCCCTATCTTGGGAAATGTCCATATGTAGCCGTTCGGGAGTTCAACTCCCTTCAAGTTCGGGTTTGCTCCTCGCTCTTTGATGCCTGCACAGAGGTTGTTCATGTATCACCGAGCAGTGCCACAAAAGATATGGCTGTCCATGCAATCTTGTTCCTAGGCTGCGTATGTACAGGCTGTAGGGCTTATGGCACGAGAAGTGGCCCCCCCCCCCCTGTTCGAAGAAATCAGCAGAAGCGTTTTGCAAAGCAAAAACAACTGATCTGTTGCACCGTGCTGCTGCAGTGACGGGTGACCATTCTGCGCTGGACAGATCTCGTTGCAGGCAGACAGCTCCCAAGACATGTGGCCTACGCATTTTGCGGCATGAATTGCCCGGATAGCTGGCCAGACCCCTTTCTGCTGCGCCATGGAAAATCCAAGGGTTTGCTGCAGCTTCACCTGTCGGCTGCAATACCCCTTAATTAGGGAATACACCATAAATCATGTTGGGGTCGCTTTGCCATGTAGTTAAGGTATATGTCCCTAATTAAGGGGTATGGGGTGTAGGGTGCTCATGCATGACTCGTGAACTAGAAGCAGCGTTGTCATACGGGGACGTGCTGCTTAGTGTCACATGGCTCACGCGTAGAATTTCCTGTCTGAATTACATGCCGCCTACCCGCAGTCGAGTTGTGCTCCCTAGCAGATCATGAGGCACGCAGCTCCCTCCTCACAAATATGGGATGAGTCTACCCCTGAAATACTATAGTCCTTTATTCTAGGAACTCTCAGACAGGGTTGAAGGTTTAGGGCTACAAGGCTTAGAACTTAGTGTTCAGAGGGTTTAGGGTTTAGGGTTTAGGGTTTAGGGTTTAGGGTTTAGGGTTTAGGGTTTAGGGTTTAGGGTTTAGCCCCCTCTCCTCATTTTTGTAGCTCGAAGAGTTAAAGATGCCTCGGCGCTCGACAAGAAGGGCCGCAGGGATGCCAAGCACGAGTTTAGGGTTTGGGGTTTGGGGTTTAGGGTTTAGGGTTTGGGGTTTAGGGTTTAGGGTTTAGGGTTTGGGGTTTAGGGTTTAGGGTTTGGGGTTTAGGGTTTAGGGTTTAGGGTTTAGGGTTAGGGTCAAGGGGCTAAAGATTTTTAAGGTTTAGGGCTTAGGGGTTAGGATTTGCGGGCCGTGTACGGGGTGTAAGAAGGTAAAGAGCAGGTTGAGGGTTTTCAGGGCTTGACAAAAGCTTGGGCTTTCTTAGGGACGTTCAGGTTTTTGGGATGTAGGGGTCCAGGAGGTTCAGGCTTTGGGGGGCTTCACGAAGTGTCGGGTTGACGGAAGTGTTTTGGGAAGTTCATGGTTTCAGGGTGTTTTTTTGCTTGAGGTGAAGTGGAACCGGGAAGTTCAGGGGTTGAGGCACAGGGCTACCTGGGTTCCCTGGGGATCGTCTCTGCCTAGCGAAACCCCTGCCAGGCCCTGGCAAGGCCCGAAACCGTGAACCTAAACTCAGACAAACCCTCAAAACCTCGACCCAGAGTTGCAAGCACGGTGCCCCGAAACCCGAGACTTCAGGCAGCCCTGGCCGCGTTGCTGGGCGCCGCCTCAGTGGGCTGCAGCCTGGCTTGCAAAGGGCTGGGGTTTAGGGTTTAGGGTTTAGGGTTGAGGGTTGAGGGTTGAGGGTTGAGGGTTGAGGGTTGAGGCTTGAGGGTTGAGGGTTGAGGGTTTAGAGTTGAGCCCCGGTTGAGTGCTACGTGTGGAGGGCCATGGAGGACCAACAGCTAGAGTCTAGAGCAGAACAACGCAGGGCTGCAGGTGCTTGCTTAGGACCTGAAACACGATACATTGCCCTAGAACTACCTAAGGCCTCAGCCCTCAACCTTAGTAGCTGAGTAGATGACCTTTACCCTTTTGCGGTAGATACAATCCTACCATAATTGGAAGGTTCCCAAAGAGCCCAAGATTGCTTAATGAAGGAATCTACCTTAAATCATATTAAGGATCCCTATATGATTTAAGGAATATTCCTGAAGCAGTATTGGGCTCTTTGGGTTAACCTTTTTGGGCCAGGGTATTCAGTAACTAGGCAACCCTAAAGCAGACACCCTCAGCGCTGCTGTGCTGCCCGGTGGCCTCCCGTAACTCATGGAAGGCACCAACTTCGCCACTTCGCCGCCTCAGGCAGCCTTGGGTAAGAGGGTTTAAGAGATTTAGGGTTTAGGGTTTAGGGTTCAGGAGTTAGGGTTTAGTTTAGGATTTAGGGTTTAGGGTTTGCCGGGAAGTGCCAGAGAAGTTTGCCCCAACCCTAAACTGTTGAGCACTCATGCTCCCTGCATGTTTTTCTTGTCTGAAATGTGCATCACAAGGCCCGCAAGTATTACGATTAATCGTATTTGTTATTGTAATATTTTGAGAATGTAAGAATCATCGATCGAAACCCGAAATCCTACACCCGATTATTCATCTCATCCCTATAGCTCTCGCACCTTTCTTCAGTTTCGCCAGTCCAAGGCAACTTGGGAGTTACCCTGAAGACTCTAATATGCTGTCTGCTTTGTCTGTTGTCACATGTGATTCCTGCAAGAAACTATGTCGAACCAACATCTGCACTACATGAGAGTCTTCAGGTAGTCTAGGACTTGTTCTTTTTAGCGTCAGCCTTGACGTTTTCGGCCCACCTGCAATTGAGCGACAGGCACAGACCCTCAACCCTGAACGTCAACCCTAAAGCCCCAAAGCCCAAAATGCCAAGGCCCAAGAAGCTTAAGCCACCGTCTCTTTCGTGCTGAGTTGGTAACATGTAACCTTCTTGAGCATGTCAGTCCCCCTTACAGCCATTATTTCCGCCCTGCAAAAGGGAAAGCTTAGCTAGTATTGACTGAAATTGTAGACCCTCAACTTAAAACTCGCACAACCCCTAAACCCTGAACCCTAAACCCTAAATCCTGCACTCTTCGGCCACAGGTTCCACTCCGATTGTCACGCGCGTGGCCCTCAGCCAAAGCCTCTTGTGTAGAGGCAAGACTGGGCTGCAGGACAGCTACATGTTATGTGAGGTTTTCAGGGTTGGGTTCAGGGTTTAGGGTTTAGGGTTTAGGGCTCAGGGCTTAGGGTTTAGGGTTTAGAGTGTTATAGTATGTACGCATATGCTTATATGTAGAGTATATATATACACATACATATACTATGTGGTGTCACATGATGTCATGTCAAGTCGTGCTATGTTGCGCGCGTTTGACTACGCTGTGCTACGCTCTGTTCAGCTAGGTTCCGCGATGACATGCTATGTGATGTTATGACATGATCCCTACACCCTAAACCCTAAAACCTAAACCCTGGACCCTGAACCCTAAACCCTAAAACCTAACCCACACTTTCTGCCCTGCCCTGGCAAATGCTTCGAGGCACCTCAGACAGCACAGACCCTGACTGGCCGCTCGCTGATCCATGCCAACACAGGCAGACAGCCGGCAGATTAATACTCTAAACCATGACTATATCCCCCCTGGGAATTATTACATATTTTGTTTATATAAAACCCAAGAGGATATTTGTCTATAGTTTTTGTTAA